CCTCTCCTTCCTTCCTTCCTTCCTTCCTTCCTTCCTTCCTTCCTTCCTTCCTTTCTTCCTTCCTTTCTTTTCCTTTCTTTCTTTGTTACTTGTGTTTGTATGTGTGTGCACATATGTGATGGTCAGAGGACAACTTGCAGGAACTGGGTCTCTTTTCTACCATATAATTTCTGGGTATTGACCTCAGGTCTTTAGGCTTGGCAAAAAGCTCCTTTACCCACTGACCTATCTCTCTGGTCCCCAACCTAGGCTGTCCAAAATCTATTTACATGTGTCAAACATCAGTTAAGAGACACAGCCTTGCCTCTTAACTTAGTTGTCCTTCAGAAAGACTTTTATCATTTTTTACATTATTTATTGAGCTTTTGTAATTTCATACAACAGTTCTTAATCAAATTTAGATCCCTGCCCCCATCCATGCTTTTCCCATCCCGTACTGAACCTCATGTAGTCCTTGATACATGTTAAATCCTATTCATTCAGGCATTTGTACCCAAATGTCCTTCAGTGTAAATGTGTCCACTGGAGTCCAGTCAGCCCATCTAGAGATCATATGTAAGTCATACTGTCCCTCATCCAGCAGCAATCAGTCTTGAATATTTCTCAGTCCAGTGCCGGCCCACCACCTATTTCTCTCCTCCCTTTTGGGTCCTTGTTTAATTGAATTGACATGGGGCCTGTGCTTGATGCCACCATTGTCACAAGTTCACAAGTTCAATGGCCTGGAAACCTCTGCTTCCCTGTGTTCATGAACCAGCCCTGGCTCTTACAGTCTTTCTGTCCCCCTCTTCTTCAATCATCCCTGAGCAGTGGGTGGATGAGGTTCCATACAGGAGTCCTGTCCTATACTCTATAGTATCTTATTCTTTAAAATTTGGCCAGCTGTGGCCTTCTGTATGCATCACACTCTGTTGTATAAGGAAGCTTTACTGGTCAGAGTTGAGGGCTGCATTAATTTTCTCTCTACCCCTTATTCCGCTATGTTCCATTAGCCTTAGTTGTAGAGGTTTAACTGTAGATGTGTCACCTAGTACCGGGCATCTCTCAGACATATGTTCTTTGTGTCTGACCAGATGTGCAATTCTGTAGTAGCCTCCATCTGTTGCAAAAAGGAGCTGCTTTGATGAGTGCTGTACAGTATGCTTGTCTGTAAATATAAGGATTGATATTTAGCATATAGTAAGAAGTTTCATTTGTCTTGAGGGTTTTCTCTAAGATCTGCATCCTTTCCTGCCATATGTATTTGGCTGAGTTTACAGTGCCACCCATGAGTTCCCTCACGCCGAGAGGGCTTTAAGTCCAATTAGATAGCTATTGATTTCCCCTCAGATAACAGTGCCACTACTGCACCAATAGAGGTAGTTTGCCTTGCCGGTTGTTATGGTTATCAGGCTTTAGGGCTGGGTTGGACCATTGATTGTTTTTCTCCCTTGGAAGTTTGCATATCTTCATCTAGTGTTATGACAGTCAAACTTCAATTAGAAGGCTTCCAGGTCAGTTCCTGTTCTATTGTTTCAAGTCCTGTACCCTATGTATGTCCTGTCCTAGTTAATCATTTGTCAATTGAGGGACATTTAGGTTGTTTCCATTTCTTAGTGTTTGTGAAGAAAGCAGCAACAAACATGGATGTACAGGTATCTCTATAGTATGAATCCTTTGGGTATATGCCAAGGAGTGGTATAACTGGATCATATAGTAGGTTCATTTTTGGATTTTTGAAAGTTCTCCACACTGCCTTCTACAGAGTTTGGAATGCATGTCAGAATCACCTGGCAGGCAAGATGGCAGTTGTGACCAACATGGTAGTGGTCAAGACAAGTTGGATCCCTACACAGGCATATAATTATAACTAGGCATACGTGTATACAGTGTCAAACAGCCCTAGGGACACACTGCTGGATTTCCCTTCTGAAAGTTTTCCATACTGAAGGAGAGTGCCCCTCAGACCCCCTCCCTGTCCTGTGAGAAAGAGCTGCCTTCTGCCTGACTCTGGAAATCCCCTAGATTATTCAAACCCTTTCCTGGTACATCTATTTATGGTTTCTATGGAAATGGTCTAGGGCAGAAGAGGAAGAACGTTCTGCCCCAGATAAGCTAGCCAATAGCTGTGTAGGTTAAGGCTCTGGAAATCAGCCTAGATTGTTCAAATCCTTTCCTGGTTCTTCCGTTTATGGTTTCTATAGACATCCCCTGCTCTGTGGTTTTTGTGCTTTAAAAAGCCCTGTGTTTCCACAGCTCTGGGTTGCAGTGCAGCTCCTGAGCCTGCCTGTGTCCCTGGCCAGTCAGTCTCAATAAAGCAGTTAAGTTCTCCTGAGTCTCAGTGTCCAAGACAATTCAGGGAATTCTTCGGACCCCAAACATTGTGGGGGGCTCATCCCAGGATTCCCTAAAAGACCCTCGGTCTGTTTTCCTGTTTTTTTCTGTTGTTGTTGTCCTCCATTTGGCACCCGATGACATCAGATCTGGTTTCTCCTGCTGTGAGTCTGTTTTGATTTCTGTACTGGGTGTCCAGACTTCTGGGGGCTCAAGGGAGAGAAACTGGATGCAGTATTGCTCTCTGAGCAAGAGGACGGGGATGCCCCAACCCTCCATCTGAATGGTTGCCCACTTGTGCCCTCTGGGCCTTCGGCGTCAACCCTAATCACTCTCACAGCGAATCTCTGATACACAGCTCCTTTGTTCTGTGTCAGTCAAGTCAACCTGATCTGTTTCTCGTTTGTCTTTGTTTCAGCATAATCCTTTTCTTTTCCTTCTTTTCCATCGTGGGTCAATCCCCTTCATCTGAAGACACTCCCCTAGACTTAATTCTTTCTCATTTTAAGGATATCCAGAAGGCAACTGCAATCTCTGGAGACACTGTCTATTCGGGGAAATTACGTACTCTTTGTTCTCTCAAATGGCCATCTTTTGATGGTGACTGGCCCCGCACTGGGTCCTTTGATGTTAACAAACTTTCTTCTGTTCAGGTCTTGATCTTTGGAAACCCAGGACACCCTGACCAGGTCACACACGTTCAGGCCAGCCCTACAGGCCTGAGACGCCCCCTGCCTTCTTCCCTTCCATGCTATGGCCCCGCCAGATTCCTCTGGCCACAGTTTTCTTGTTTATTCTCCTTTCTCAATCAGTGATCTTTATAATTGGAATTTTAAAAAGTTTCCTTTCTCTGAAAAACCCCAGGCTTTAATTAGACTCCTGGAGACTATCTTTCTTACTCACCAGCCCACCTGGGATGATGTCCAACAACTCCTTCTCACCCTCTTCACCACTGAGGAATGCACCTGTATCTTGAGGCCCGGAAATGGGTACCGGCCGAAAATAGCTAGTTTACTGAGGATCCTGAGGTAATTGAGGAAATTTTCCCTCGCCACTGCCCAGAATGGGATCCCAACACCCATGCAGGTAGGAAGTCACTCAGACTCTATTGCCAGATTCTAATGGGGGGGGTCTCCAGGCTGCTGCTAAAAGGCCTACAAATTTGTCAAAAGTCAGACAGGTTTTGCAGGACAAAAGACTTGTTGAAGGAACTTCAATGCCTGGGGTACAAAGTGTCAGCTAAAAAGGCACAGATCTGCCAGGAGGAGGTACAGTATCTGGGGGTTTCAGATGGAAGGGGTATGTGCAGGCTCTCCTCTGCAAGGAAAAAGGCCATCATGGACATCCCCATTTCCTGAAGTCAGAGGCAAGTCAGAGAATTCCTGGGGTCAGCTGGATATTGTCACCTGTGGATACCTGGTTTTGCAGAGCTGGCCAGGCCTCTATATGAGGTAACAAGGGGGGGGACCCTCAGCATTTTCCTGGGGAGAACAACAGCAGGGCTTTGACAACCTAAAACAGGCCCTCACTTCTGCACCAGCCCTAGTCCTACCTG